GTAAGGCAAAAGTACCTTTTATTAGAGAAAAACTAACAGATTAAGTATAAGAAATAAAGGAATCCTTACCATGCTGGTCACCCACTGTATCTATCTGGATGTTACTACTTTACTGATTGAAGAATCTTATCCAGCCCTGGAAGGGGATGTTGGTGACCTGGAAGGAGACCCCTCATCCCTGGAAGGTAATGTTAGTGCCCTGGAAGGGGACGTTTGTGACCTGCAAAGAGACCCCTCTGCTGCTGAAGGGGACGTTGGTGACCTGGAAGGAAACCCTTCATCCATGGAAGGGGATGTTGGTGATCTGGAAGGAGACCCTTCATACCTGGAAGGGGATGTTGGGGACCTGGAAGGAGACCCCTCTACTGCTGAAGGGGATCCATCTGCCCTGGAAGGCAATGTTGGTTGGAGGGGGACCCGACCGCTGCTGAAGTTGGTGATCTGGAGGGTGAGAATATTGTGAACTTCTCTACTTTTGTTCCATTTTTGTGTGGCACTGTTACTTGTATTCTCTTGCCATGACCTAACATTCTGTGTCTTTCTTGCAGGGGTCTGGTGATCTGTTCCTGCTCTAGTGCTTGGAGTGGCTGGAGGAATCCCTGGTTTTGGATTGCTTTGAGAGGCCAATAAACCTGTATAATTCAGATGCCTGGGAATCTGTTCAGCTTTGTGTGCTCACCTACCTCATGGTGGCCATTTAGAAATAGCTCTGTACCTGCTTGTGGATTCCCCCTTGCCACAGGCCTTAAAATTCTTACCTTCCACTGCTCTGATCTGCCAGAAGTGCAGCGGGGTAGGAGTGCAGCCATATTGGGCAGAGAGATTGAGCCACCATATGTGCTCATAAAGCAGGAGCAGACACCAGGTTGATGGAAACTTGCACTCCAGATCTGCAAGTGCTTGCCCTCCTGCAGGCATCTGAAAGGGGTGGTCTGGTGCAGCATGTAATCCAGGAGTGGGAACCACTGCTCTTGGTGACGCAAGTAAGGCTTCAATTGATTATTTGTATTTTTTTATTCCAGTCACAAGTTTAGGGTTTTATTTCACTTGCAAAATGGGATGGTTAAAACTTCTACATGTTTAAGAGCTGGGAACAAACTGTTCCTATTCCCCTTCTTAGGTCAATGAAGGATTTGTGTAACTGAGGGCTTGGTGGGAACAAAAATCGAGAGGTGGGTGTGTATGGCCCCCAGGCTCAGGATTGGGAACCACCTTCCTAAAGCTTAGGACTGCTCCCTTCTTCATAGGTTTCCCTACTGGTACTATCATTAGACAGGTCTGTGCTTGAGCGACAGACCAGGATTCCACCCAGTGACTGCTTTAGTTTCCAGTAACCATATCCCTGTCTTTAGAAAAACATTGTGTAACTAAGGTATAGTGGATGTGAGGAATTGAACCCCTGGTTTCATTAGGTCAATTAAGCAAATAATGAAGTGGCTGACTAGCTGGTGGGGGCTGAGTTTGGAAGGACCTACTCTATATGAAGAGCAGAAAAGAAATGTGATTAGTCTTTACTATCCTGTTGTGTGGAAACAACTCATGCCATGAGTGAAGAACATGACTGAGGCCACCTGAAAGAATTACTGCAACTCCTTGCTCTGGAAAGGATTGCTAAATTATTGCTCTGTACTGGAGAATCTACATCTCCATTGTCAGTCTACAAATGGAGAGAGATCAAGATCAGTGGCCCAACCCAGGAGTGCTTGTCCACAGCAGCATCTTGCAGGTCTCTTGGTGTGTTGGTGTAAGATGGCTGAGAGCAGACCACTGCCTGTGCCTTTAGGGGAAATGTGCAAATAATATTTAGCCTGCCTTTCTCCCCTGGTAGGGCACTGATTGAACAGCAGATGTCCCGGACATGGAAACTGTAGCGCTGGTTTAGTGAGATAGTGCCAGCACATACTTGTGCTGGAGGGCTCTGAGAATTCCTGACCAGCAAGTACCCCTCATGGTCAGGACTTCCTCTCCAGAGACATTGATCTCCAGAGAAGATTGCCTTCTCTGATCCATTCAGGAATCCGCAAGGAAGCTCAGCTGAATTAAATCTTCTGCTGCGACCCATTATGTCTTCCTCCAAATCTTTTTCTAGAATTTTGTCATACCTTTTCTTCCTCCCTGGGCCACTTGCCCGCTTCTCTCACTAAACCAGCATTCTGTCTCTTCGCAGCGATCTGTTCCAAGACCAGGTTTTGTAACCACTTTCTATTCCTTTACAGATGTCGTTGACATTAATATCATCCTTAAAGGATTTAGCCTGAAATTTAATACCTTTTCTTTTGATTCTGATACCACCCAGAGTAACATTCAGAGACTTCTAAAATAATTTTCTAGGAAACAAATGCTTTCTACCATTTTCTCCCTTAAAAAACAGATTATCCTTTCTGACAACATCATCAAAGAGGCTAAGGAATTTCTATGGCAGACAGCTCTACATAGTCTTCCCTTTATAACTAACCTCATTAGATCTCCCAACTCTAAACTCTACCAGTTTCTCACTACATTGAAGGACAAAAAACTCGGTCATCTTCTACAGAAGAAAACCATCAACACCCCAAACACCTTCACAAATCTTAACCTTGTTGTCACTATACCTTCTGACCTTTTCCTTTCACAGGACGAGCGATCCCTCCTCAGCAAAGGCCTAAGTTTTGTACCAGTTCCCAGGAAGCTGGACATCCCCCAGACCAATGTCAACCTTAACTGCTTTTACCGCAGGATCTGTCTACGAGCACGTTTTGCTGACAATTCCTCTTCACAGGCAGCTGACAACAATCCAGTTATTGATGTCATTAACAACATTAATCCCAAACAGAGCTGTTGGACTCCCCCCTCTGCCTGTTTTTCACCAGTCAATTTTCATTAACCAATGCACCAATCAAGCTCCCAAGACACACTCTATACCCAGTAAACACAGTTCCAACCTCACCCAAGGAGAAATTCAGGCGCTCCAGTCTCTCCACAACAGAGATGATATCGTCATCAAACAAAGGAGGCGCTGTTGTGGTGTGGAATAAAAACCTATATATCTTTGAAGCCTCTAGACAACTAACTGACACTTCTGCCTACCTCCCTCTCCAACATGACCCTACCAGTGACTACCAAAAGGATGTGGTATCCACCATCTCCCTTCTTATCAGCAGGAAAGAGCTCCCCCAGGAGGCGAACCGGTTCATCATTGAACATCCGCAGGTATCTCAATTTTACCTCCTTCCCAAAATCCACAAACCAGTCACCCCTGGACGCCCCATCATATCAGCATGCAACTGTCTGACTACTTACATCTTGGCCTTTCTCGGCAGCCTCATGAGACTGCTGGTTAAAGGTCTTCCCTCATACATCAAGGACACCAACCACGCACTCCAACGTTTTAATGATCTCCAATTTCAGGGCCCCGATTGCGTCATTTTTACCATGGACATCACATCTCTTTACACCGTCATTCCCCATAATGACGGCCTTACAGCCCTCAAGCACACGCTGGACAAATGCACAGTGCTTGATCCACCCACCCACCCACACCATGGTACGCCTTGCAGAATTGGTACTCACACTGAATGCATTCTCATTCAATAACCTCTTTTACCAACAGGTGAGTGGAGTTGCCATGGGCACCAGAATGGGACCCAGCTATGCCAATATTTTTGTTGGCTGGGTAGAAGAACGCTTCTTCGCTTCCTACACTGGCTATGTCCCTGACCTCGGCTGGGTAGAAGAACGCTTCTTCGCTTCCTACACTGGCTATGTCCCTGACCTCTACAAGCGATGCATTGACGACTGCATTGGTGCCACCACATGCTCCAATGACTAGCTTGAGTGGTTTCTGCATCATTTCACCAACTTCCACCCTTCCCTCAAATATATGGTTAACATATCTTCCACTACTCTTTCGTATCTAGACATCAACTTCTCCATCAACTACCCCCGACTCTCCACTTCGGTTTATTACAAACCCACAGATTCACACAGCTATCTCCTGTATAGCTAACTTCACCCCAAAACACTAAAAACTCTCTCCTTTTTTCACAGTTCCTTCGGCTACGATGATTATGCAGCGACGACATCAACTTCCAAGACGTACTTTGATGTTTTTCATCAACAGAGGATACCCCAGCAGTGTTATTGACGGGGCCCTTGCCCAAGCCAAAAACATCCCTTGGACCATCAACTCAACCAGGAACCTCCGCTGTATCAAC